ACACTGGGCAACATGTGGCTTGAGGCCTTCCCCAGATGCTTGTAGCGTACCAGGTGTAGATCCTGACACTCTCTTAACAAACACACCGGCTTGCACTGCAAGTGCATCACACAGAGCTGGGGAAAGTGCATGGTGTCCATCTATTGCTGTCAACATTGCCTCCTTTGGAGCTGGGAGGAGAGTGGTGAAGATTTCCATTCCATTCTAGGAACATTTGTAAACAGAACTTTGGGGCAGAAATAACTGAGCCATGTGGATTCATCCTCGTTTTCTTCTTCTGGGTATGCTCCTATTCCCTACAGATGACTTAACTAGTGGGGTGGACTTGTATATGTTATTTCTGTTTTGTTGTTGCTATGGCTGCAGTTAAAGAGAGATCCTACAAGGTGCTAAACACTCTGATCTAATCCAACATAGCATATAAACACATGCTTAACTCTAAGCATTTCTGTAGTCCCAGTAATAGCACATGCTTAAAGTTAAACATGAAATTAAGTGCCTTGCAAAATCCCAGCCATAGTGCTCAGAGTCTTGCAGAACCAAGCCTGTAGAGCCAAGAATCATTTCTTCTTCTAGTTAGTCACTACAGCAATCCGTAAATAGCCTCAGGTTTTTTTTCTTACTAATTTGTAAAAATTTCTTGCATTTCTAAATGGTTAATTTCTTTAGTTTTTTAATTGTTAATCCTTGTTTTCCAAAATTAATACATTCAAGTACTCAGAAATTCCTTCCCCACCCTGAACCCTGAAAATGAGAGCTAGAGACCACTCTTTTGTGGGGGATGCAAGGAATTCAGTCTCTGTATCCTGTGAAATTTGGAAATCCTGTCAATGTCTTATTAATGAAACCTGGAAGAGCTCTAGGGGATTTAGTCTAAGTCTTCATGCAAAATATTTCATAAGTGAATATTTTATTAATGATTATATTGTAAAAAGTATTAGGATTCTGTTTTTTAACCTATAACCTTTGGGCTGGGTTCTTCTGATATATACTAGGGCTAGAAATCAAATATTGATAGAGATCCCTAAATTTCCTATGTGTATGTCAGTGGAACTCCATGTCTTATAGTTATATTCTTATATGTAAAAAATAAAAAGCATACAGTTGGAGGATGGAAGAATTATCTTTAAATATAAGCACATCTAAAGTACCTTGTGAGGCATGAGGCCAAAGGCAAACTAGCTTTAAAATATGTATATATTTTTATGAGCAACCTAGTGTGTCTTCTGCTTAAAATAAGGCATAGTGATATAATTGTACCTTTTAACTGAATGTCATGCATAGTAAAAATAACTGAACAATAAACTGTGACTGAATTAAATGCATTTATTTACTTCTGCTAAAACAGATTCAGTCTTGTTTTTCTCTTTTAAAATATGCATTTTTAATGTACTTTTTTAATGACAAGTTAATATCAGCATTTGCTTCCACCTACATTCATAGAGAATTTGGTCTTTGCTATGATGTTGCAGAGGCTTAAATGTGGTAGCAATTAGCCTCTTCTTGCTGTTAACTTGCACTTAGAATACTCACAGACTTCACTAGGTGTCTTGTGTAGAACAGTCGCAGCATTGGCCAAATGTGGTAAGTAGAATACTTTAGAGCTGGTCACAGTTTGAAGAGATGAAGCTGAGCTAGGGAGTGCTTCAAGAGTTTAATCAAGTGATGAATTACAGTAGTTCCTGTTCCGAGGGGGAAAAATTATTAATTTGACAAACTTCTCTTTGAGCTGAAACAATTTCTAGTAAGTGTGCATGAACCCAAGGTTGTAGTGTCCTGAGAACATCCTTATCCTAATCATTAAAATGTTTACTCCAGGTTTTCTCAAAAACTCTCATCTTTTTTGGCACGTGTTGTGCTTTCATAATCTAAACAGTCATTTTTATTGATATGATGGACCTAAATAGCTTCATATTTAGTATTGTTCTGCTCAATGTTATTGGATGCCTTTTAGAATGACAATATTGTTGAATTCATTTTCCGTGAACTGAGCAGCAGTGAAACTCCATTTGCAGTAGACTTGAAAACCTCAGTGTTTTTTAGTGCTTTGCCTTCTTAATGAAAAGAAACACTTAAACAACCAAGTTATATCCCAAAAAGAGCTAAGTCCACTGTGTGCCTTTAAAGTCTTTGTAAATTTTCATTTTAAAACGAGGTTGTTTTATAGGAAATGTAGTCTGCAGTACTTTTTTAGCTGAGAATTAAATTCCTGATGGAGGTGATTCAGCACAGAACAGAAACAAACCTGAAAGTCTACACCCATTATATGCAATGTGAGGCCCTGGGTAACCCTGTGGGTTACCTGGTCAGAACTATGCAGTGCAGTGCATTTGAAATTAATATTTCTCATTAAAGGGAGAGGAGGAGGGGAGGTCTGGGGACCTCTCACAGGCAGCCTTCTATTGCCAAAGAAAATGATGTAATTGGCAAAGGGCCAATGTCAGTCTAAGAGCCAGTTTCCATTCTGCTTTCAGATTGGTGTAACAAATGCCTAATGGTAAAATGCTTCAATTCTCCTGATTTAAAAAAAAATCTTTATATTAAGATTGCAATTTAAATTCAGAAGGGAAAGTTTTTCACCACACACAAACTCCTCAAGCTTGAACATGCTTTCTTTCAACTGTACTTGTACTGTTAGTACCACCACTATAATACCAGAAGCTTATAAGTCAATTCTCTTTTACTCTGCACTAACAGTTAGCTGCACAACTTTGAGAGCCTGATCCAAGTCTTGTTGAAATCACTAAGACTGGAGCTGGGATCAGGTGCTTATCATTATATCTACATGGTACAATGCAGTTCTGTGCAAAGGTACCTTGTTCAGAAGTACTTCAGCTATTAGGAGCTGTATAGCCACAATAACACAGCACTCTGCCTGACCTAATTAGCTCTGCTGCTATACTTCTTCCAGCTACGCTGCTTCTGGTTCCAGAACTTGCTTTTTTAAAGCTACCTTAAGTATCTCTGCTTGGCACTGCCTCGTCCCACGTAGTTCCTATCTCTAGTGTTGAAAATGACATGTCACTTGGTTCCGGAGACAGATCAGTAGCATGTGTGTGCTCCAAAAAGCCCAATCAAAAAAGATCATTAGAAGACAAACAAATAGATTTTTTTTCTCTGAATATATGCCTAAAATGTAAGATAGACAAGAAGGAGCCAGAACAACATGGAATTCAAAACAGGGCTTTGATTTAAAATGAAATAGTCCTTAATGATAAGGCAGTACCTTGTTTGTCCAGATGCTATCTGTGGTGAACCCATTAAGAGCCTAGGCATACTGTCAGGAGGCCCCTGCAGCTAAAGTTGAGTGGGGAATGGGAATTAACCTTTCATACTTATGAATGGATTAGTATGGACTGCTGATACATCTGGATTGGGTTCAATACTGCTCTGGACAGTGTACTGTGTGTGCAAAATATTCATCTCAAATTATCTTCCAAAAATGAATTGGAACGCAAGTCCAGGAATGGATCTCTCTCTGTCCAAAGATTTCATCATCAACAAAAGGTCTGGATTATACCATGTACATAAAATATTCCAGGTAAACCTCTCCTCTGGGAGTTGCAGTAAAGGATGAGAAGGTTGTTGGATGGTTCTTGCCAAGTAGATAGTTTTATAATTACTTTTCCAGTGTAACTCAGGAAGAATGTCCTTGCCCTGGTATATATAATGCTATGACACAGATCATAATTAGAATATTTTGCAAATTGTGTGAACTGTTTGTGGACAATGTTGTTTTCCCTATGCACGTAGATGCTACGCCAGACCAATTTGCCTGTGTTCCAGATCAGACTACTTCCACGGGTGTTGACCTTCCTGTTGCTTCTGTAATTCCAGTCTGTTTCTCCCCACCTCTTAATTCCTTTAAATTATGCCCAGGGTCTCAAATTTTTCTTCCATCATATTTTATCCAGATAGAGTTACTATGTGGAATTTCTCTTCCTCAGCCAAACACTTATGTTTCCATTATATTATGTGATGGATTATGCAGTGCTGTATAAAACCTTTTAAGTTAAACCCCTTGTTGCGGCATTAGCTCCAGAAGTCTGCCCAGCCATGTTGTGGTTGCCCCATTGTAAACCAGGCCAGCCATTAATCCTCTGTCACGCCTTGTCATAGCTGTCTCATCCATTGTGGGGGTTGTGCTGCTTTTCTCAGTCTCACTGAAAAGGAGAATGAACTAAATGACAGCTCATTCTAAAGAAATGCAACACATTACAAGAAGCTTCCTTTATCAGTTTATTTTTGGTTGACGGTAAGGCAGTAAAGGTGTTTATTATGTAATTGGAAAACTTGCACAGTTTCAGTGTATTTGGAGATATCTACCCAGGCAGTTGATTCCCTTAAATACCTCCATATCTTATTGGACATGCATGTGGTGCCAAAGAGCTGCACGTGAGGTACTTGGCAAGCAAATAACATCAGAAGTGAATTAAGCGGAGATCAGTTGCTTAAAAGCTGCCCCCCTATTCCAGTCTAAAGTGTGTCTGAATCAGAGATTGATAGCACTAGCAAACATCTTCAACACTTGCATTTTCACACTCTTCGCTTAGCTCTAAGAATGCATTATCATCATGCTTAGTGCTTCTAGTACTCTACTGAACAGCAGTTAATAGACCAAGCAGGACAGGTGATAGGTGATTCATACTTATGAATGGATTAGTATGGACTGCTGATACATTTGGATTGGGTTCAATACTACTCTGGACAGTGTACTGTGTGCAAAATATTAATCTCAAATTATCTTCCAAAAATGAATTGAAATGCCCTTCTGTCAATGCCCAGATGCAGACAATGCTACCATATATCATCCTGGTAAGTTTTCTCTTGTATTGCTTAACATTCCCCAATTCATTGTTTTGGGCCTGTTCCTTGCTGGCGCAAATTCTCAGTCATCCTATTAGTGTCTCACTTGAAAAAGCACTAAGATGCAATTTGGATTAATTCAATACTCACATCTAACAACGCTGTTTAGACAACTATTCAACTTTTGATTGTAGATTTATTTGAAAACCAGTGACCTGGGAGACTCGGTAGATGAGGTGGAGCGACTGATCAGGAAACATGAGGCTTTTGAGAAGCTCCTGGCCTCACAGGATGAGAAGGTAAAAAAGAGTACTTTATCAAGTACAAGGGAGGGGGTATTTTTTGCAAGTGAAGCACAGAACTGTTGATTTAGGCTGGTATGCTTGAGCCAAACAAACAGCACAAGGGAGCCTTAATGAAAGTCTAGTGAAATAGGAAGTCTGTAACCCAGAGAAGCTTCAAACAGTGCCCTGGCTGTGCTGACTGGTAATATGTAGGAAAATTACCCCATGACGGGAATGCTGGGACTTACCAGATAAAATCTTAGAAAGAAGCTGTTTTATTGTTTGCTGGAAATACCTGAAATTCCTATTTTTTCTGCAAAAATACAATGGACATGTACAGCAAGTAAATAAAGTAGTTAACATAAAAGAGCAGAGGGAACAGATTATTTAAATATATATACTGTGTTTATGTGTGAAATTAGTAATGAAGTGGCTGGTGTATTTGCATTCCCCTGCCCTCTGTACAATAGAAGCAGAGCTGCTCAGCTGTGGGTAAGAGGTCCTATACTGCAAACAGTTAACTGAGTGTCTACTTTAACTCATAGTTACTAGGTAGCTCTTTCACATAGACTAATGGCTTCAAGTTGCAGCAAAGTAGATTTAGATTGGCTATCAGAAAAAACATAATCAATGTTAAAACAGTGAGATAGTGGAATAGACTGTGTTAGGGACGTTTTGGACTCTCCATCTTCAATAGAAGTTTAGATTAGATACTAGGAAAAAACTCTCTCACTAGGAGAGTAGCAAAGCAGTGCAACAGTCTACCCAGAGAGGTTGTGGAATCTCCATCCTTGAAGGTTTTTAAGACTCAGGTAGACAAAGCCATAGTTGGGGATGGTCCTGCTTTGAGCAGGGGCTTGAACTAGATGAGCTCCTGGGGACCTTTACAACCCTAATTTTCTATGCTTCTGTGAGATTGGACAGGCGTTGGCCAGGGATGATCTAGGAGTAGATATGCCTATGTTCTACTCTGGGTATTTCCCATGATTTTGGACTTGGCTGATTGCCACATGGGGCCAGAAGGGATTTTCCCCCCCTCCTCCCGCTACGTCAAGATTTTTTTTTAAACCTTCCTCAGCAGCATTTGGGGTTGACTACAGTCAAGGCTGGGGATTTTGACCAGTATGTGCCAGTGTTCCTGCTGGGACGTAAACCCTGATGTTTCTGGCTAGAGGATCTTGCCCCCCGTCCCTCTCTGCCTCCCAACTTAGGGTCAGACCAATTGTCATATTTGGCATCAGGAAGGAATTTTACCCCATGGTCAGATTGGTGCAGACTGGGGGGTGGGTTTGCCTTCCTCTGTAGCGTGGGACATGGCCTTCTGCATATTTTAACAACCTTTGCAACAGCAGAACCTTAACTGCAATGGTCCCCCTGCTTTACCTGTGGTCGTGTCAAGGTTGACTGTATAGTTTTGCTAATAAATTAGACAATGGATTTGTATAGGATGGTTTCGATAGGGATAATCATGCCTCAGGCAGGAGGTTGGACTTGGTGACCTCTTGAGTTCCCTTCCCGCCCTACTTCTCTATGATCCTCAGTTTCTCCTTGCTTTCCTGCCTCTACAGGGATTCAAGGAGATTCTTTTCAGGTGGGATAAGAATAGGAGAAAAAAAGAAGCCTTTCTTGTTGCTTCCTTTCATATTGGACAGACTGTGATTTCAGATTTGTTTTCCTTTTAGGTGACTTCTCTTCAGGACCAGGCCAGCAGACTCCAGAAGGAAGGTGGATTAGGAGGGATACAGATTCAGCACAAACTGAGCTCCATACTAGACAGAAGGCATCGGATCAAAGAGCTGTCCCAGAGTAGGCAGGAAAAACTGCAGACTTCACTTCTTCTTGTGGTCTTCTATCAGAATCTGGCAGAGGTAAGAGAGATTCTGTCAGAATCTGGCAGAGATTTGTGACTGGATTAGGGACTCTCCTCACTCTGAAAGATCTCAGGTATTGTCCACTGGAAGAGACTAGGTGCATCAGATCTCTGTGTGGGTGGGGAAGCTGCTGTATTTCTAATGGTACAGAGGTATAAATAGTATTACAAAGGTGGTTGTTATGCCATAAGTGTGATGCGAGTCCCAGGGCTTGATTCTTTTATTCACTACAGCTGCCTACAGGGTAGGTCTTTACTGAGGTAAAGCTGGCAAAGGGTGAATAACTGCCTCTTATGCCTATGCCAGCTGCACTCTTATCTCTGGCATAGAAAGAGGCAGGGGCATTTCATTGTGGGGTGGGTGTGGGCAGGGATGGAGTATGGTGAGGCCAAGAAAAGCTATACCTATTCTCTGCTGGTTACTAATAGGCTTCAAGCCAATGGCATAAGTAAGAACAGCTGCTTTAGGCCTGTGTCTGTAAAGTCCATCAGATTCTGTTGGTTTCTCTGGTTCTTAACCCTGAACTACAGGCCTGCTCTCGATGTTAGAGTTGGGAAGGCATGCCAGGTCACTTTTTCAAAGGGCAGTCCTTGAAAAGTGTGCCTGAAAAATGCGTCAGCATCTGGTGTGCTGGCATAAACAGCACTCACATGTGCCTAAGGAGACAGTTGCACATACTGTTACAAATTTTGCATATGCACCTGTTGTATAGCCTCCCTCATTCCCCCACAGCTTAAAGGAAAAATGGAGGAGCTCAGTCACCCCAAACATCAGTCCAGGTCTAAACTGACACATTTCAAACTATCATTGTAACCTGAGTCAAATGCCAGTTGTGCAGCTGTTTTCCACAACCAGCCATAAAAACAAACAAACATAAAAATCCACTGTATGCAATACAAAGAATATTGTTTTAATGCCATGCATATCACCACTGTGCTCACTGCATTCCAAACGAAAATGCAAAACCCATCACTTTAGATTAGATGTCCCCCATGTACAAATACACATGCACACACCCAGACACATACACCTGCAAAAGGAAAGAGCTTATTTTTAAAAAACTGTTTGTTTACCTGTCAGTGTGTGTGCCTCCTCCTAAGACTAATCAAATAAGTATTTAAATATTTTATCAAATTCCTATTCCTTGGCAGTGGTTCTTTCCACTGGAACCACAGCTCATTCTCTTTTTACAAAATGTGTGATAGCAAGTGCTTATTTATGTAAGCAAATGCTGTCCTTGAATTTGCCAGTTAAGTGTTTGGGTCAAATCCTGACATGGCCCTGGCAACTGGAATGCGGAGTTGTCCTCTGCTCCACGATTCCTCTCATTGGTGCAGGATTCAGTGAATCAGGCTGAGGAAGCAAATAGTTGTGCAGTGCTGCTACTTTAAATGGAGCAATGCATCTCTGGCTAGTGGCTCAAAGTACCACAGACATGCTCTTTGGTTAAGGGATTGACAGTGCCCAGTTGATGGATAGTCAGTACTGTAACTAAAGATGAGCAAGCAGGGCACCAGCCCCTAGTGCTAATTTAGAGGGAGCACCAGAATGGCAGCCCCCATGGAGCCCCAACTGCAGCAGCAGTGGCCTGCGTGTCAGGAGCTCGCATGGAGGTGGCATCATGGGCGCTGAGGAAAGACTCCCTAGTGGCATCCTCATCCCTTGCTCTCTGGTACTCAGCATCTCCTCTCTCCCACCCAGGGTGCCAAAATTCCTAGTTATGCCTCTGGATACAGTCCATCCAATAATGTACATCCCATCCCACAGCTCCCTTTGAGCATTATGTTGCCATCTTTCTTGGCATATGTGCTGGGGAAGGGGCTCCCACTCCCTACTGCCCTAACCCATAGCACAGCACAGGACCGGGCCCTATGTCACAAGAAACCTTTGGTTTTCTAATCAGTTTCCTCCTGCCACCTGTTTCATTCAGGGGGCTGCAACAAGGAGGTTTTATGCCAGAGTTGCTCTCTACCTACCTGTCTAATCAGGGTTTTATATTGCTGCCTACCACTGTAGAACTTGAGTACCACCAAGTAATTAGTAAAAATACCCTCTCACAGTAGTCTCTATCTCCTTTCCTAGGGGGCAACGAGGTTTTGGGAGCATTTGTACATGGGGAAGGTTGACTTGGAGAAGCGTGTGGCACTTTTGCTTTGAGTGCAGTGAGACCCACTGTCGCTTGTATTCCTTGTGAGGGAGTGAGCTCTCTACCCTTAAGTCCAGCTCCTGTAGAAGTTCTGTCCCTTGCAATCACAAACCATCCTTGCTGGTGGACAGAATTCTTGTTCAGTGGAACATAGCGGGTCATGGTCTTGGGGGAGAGGCAACTTTTTGAATAATTAAAGCTTACTTAATGGAGAATTTTGCAAGTTGGGATGGAGAACTGAATTCTGAATTTATTTGGGGGACAGCACAGAGAGCAGAGCATTGGAAGGATTTGGTCTTCTTAAAAGATGGGCTGATGCATTTTCATGGCATGCAGTTTCATTTTCAGAAGGAAAATTGCAGTAGGGAATTCTGGAGATCACAGATATGTGGATTACAGGACAGAGCACATTCTTCTAGGGCAGATGATACTTACCTGGCAGGGGAGATACAATCACAGAAGTGGGTACTGCACTCTGAGGATGCTGACCCCTTCATTTTCACCACATGGAAGTGGGCATCTGTTTGCTGCCATAGCTATTTGAGCATCCGGTAGTAGTGAGGAGTTGATAATCTTCCATGATGACTTGCAATGTCTCAAAGTCTGCATACCATCCTTAAAGACTCAGGAAAAAGAGGATTAGGAATGCAATTATTTTAATTTGGAGGAACGAGCACAAAGGTCAAAGTCAGGAGGACCTGCATTTTGATACTGGCTCTGCCACTAACTCACCACGTGCACGTCCTTTCTTCATTCTTCCTGATTCCCTATATATGCAGGAGATTAATAATATTGTCTGTCTATCTCATAGAGGCATGGTGACAAATAGATAGTAGCAATACAGTGCCTGGAACTTGTTAAGTTCCATTATAAATAATGTGTTTAATTTACCAAAAGTTTGCTCACCCTGGGCTCTGAGTACATATGTATTTACATATGCATGCTTTTAAACAAATTCTCTCTATATTTGTTTTAAAAAAATCTCACCAAAAATTAGGCTGTTCCCATCTACATGTAGTGGGTAAAATCTTAGCCCCATTTAAATCAATTGGAGCTTTGCCGTCAACTTCAATGGAACTAGAATTCCACCCCATCCTAAGTCAGCCCATTCCATACGGGGGCCTGGGAAAATGGATCAGCTTTGTTGTGCATCCCCAAGGACACCTGAGTCAGAATCTTAGGGAGCAAGAGCGGGGGAAGACCTCTCACTGTCTAGATCCTTTCAATTGAAGCCTGAGAGCAGTCAAAATCACTGAGAATGATAGGTAAAGACACACAGAATTGGCTGTTAAATTAAGGGTTTACAATGCTTCACCTTTTATACCAGAAGATCCTATCAGTGGTCCTGTTAAAGTCTGTCATTATACCACGTGCTTAATATTAGAAAGGGGGAGAGAACCCCTAGTGAGTTACCATATCTGATCCACTGGCAACCTGGTTTGCCTGCTCAGACAAGACTCTCCTACTGAAATGAAGAGACGCCTAAGTGTCCTTTGAGTGTTAATGTGTGGCTGTGTAATGAGAGAAGTCCCTAGCTTGTGAGGAGGGAGAGAGAGCAAGTGCATTAGTAATGAAAGCAACAGATGACAGCTTGCCCTCCTGGGCAACCTTGACACAAGTTTCTTCTTGGAATCCCTGAATGTGCTCCTGGGGGCAGGGAACTATTTTCTGGAAGGGGTAGGTAAATAGGCACTGTCGTTGTTCCTGTGTACAGATTTCAGTAGCTGAAAAAAGCTTCAAAGAAGAATCACCCAGTGACTGAGTCCAGTGTAAATCAGTGCCGTTCTTCAAAGGCAGTTGGTCCTGCGCTTAGGGGCAGAAATTGACCTCAGTGTGCTGTCCTCGCACAATCCAAACTGAAGTGTACTCAGTGCTTTGAGGTCTACAGAATCAGCTAAAATGTGTGCTATGTTTTCAGTTCTCAGTGCTCTGACAGAAAGATAATATTTCCTTCACAACCAAAAGCTAAAATTAGCATTTTTGTTTTTCACTTGAGACAAACTGAAGTTTATCCCTTTGCCTGTTTTATTCTGCTTGGCTTTTGTCTAAATCCCCCACAAGAAAGGCAAGAGAATTTGAGAGACATAACTATAATAAGCTCTACCTGAAAACCTGTTCTCATTTTTTGCTTGCTTACCTTGCATCATTTGCAAGTGTGATAAGCACTTCACAGAAAACTTCTAGAAGACAAGAAGGAATTCCCCTCACAATCTTAATGGTAATGACCTACAACTGAGAATGTGACATATGCAAGGAGGAATAGTAGACCAGAATGACACAGGTTACAGACATAAACAAGTGTAGTTACTCTCTTTTTGAACACGTGCATCCTACTGCAGCATAAAATGATGACAGTGTAGTTGCAAGCAAATGAAAAAAGGTCCTAACACTTGTATGTGAGAATGGGGCTCAAAAAATAATTAACAAGGTACCAAAGGGGGGCTGCTTATTGGAGATCTTACAGTACTTTTCACATTTACCTGGTTGAACTGAAAAAAAATAATGAGTATTTAAAACGTACTGGGGTAAATTACCTAGAGTACTCTCTTAGGAGTTAGTAGGAAAAGTGCCATTAATACTTTCCACTTCTAGAAGGCTTTACATTTGAAAATCTCTAATTTGAAAATCTCTAATTGCTTAATATTAATCCACTCAGCCTTGCAAAACCTGTTTAGAATAAATATTTTATAGAGGAGGAGACAAAGGCATAAAGTTTTAAGTGATTTAAAGACCACACAATAGGTCAATAATTGAGACCAGAAATAGAGCCCAAGATCTTCCAGCCCTTTGCTCTAACAAACAGAACAGCTAGCCATCATTAATGAAGTGCAAGCTAGCAGACTCCCTTCTAGTGCCAGTGAACCCTCTTCAGCCACACTTCACAGTTGAGGTGTTGGCAATTGAGACAGGCTTGTGGCCACAGAGCAACCATGACATCCCCTGGTGGCCTTGTGGCTCCTGCCCAACTCAGACTCTGATCCCTGAGTATGCTGCTGTGAAAGTTTGCTAGACTGCTTGCCCACCATGCCTTGTTCTTCTTCTTAAAGGTTGGTTAAAGAAGACTTCCCTTAGGCCTTTGAGTGAGCCTTAATCCTAACAATTCCCCACCGGATCTCTCTTGGACCCCACTAATCTCAGTCCAGCCCTCAGAACTGTTAGGTCCCTTTCAGCCTGACTATGCCCCTGTAGGGCACCTGTAGCCTTAAGGGAAAATTGCATGACTCTGTTCCTTCCCTATACCATGCCCCAAGCCTCGCAGGTGTTATCACTATGATGTTCAGTTCACACATTTGGCCCCTTTTGGTTCCCAGGGCCCCCGGTCTGACTTGAAGCCCCTCTCAGACTCATGGGCCCCTCTCTAGCCTTTACCTTGGGCTGGGGCCAGGTGGGGCGGCACTCGGGGGGGGTCTAGGGGAGTCGGTGGGGGATGGGGCCAAGTAGGGTCCCCCCATGGTCTCCTCCCCACTCCTCCAGCCCCACCTACTTACCAGCATGTAGCCCAGGACCCAGCTCCCTGCCATGGAGAGTGGGAACTGCCTGAATCTCCGAATCAATTCGGTGGCTTCCAATTCTATTCGGACCTTTTAATGGGTCTCCCGATTCAATTCAAATTCAGAGACTTGGCCCCTAAATCGGGCCAAATCTCCTCCAAATCAAATCGGCTACCAAATTTTCACACAGCCCTATTCTCTAGGCCCTTGCACCACCAGCTGGGCCCCACTCTCAGCCCCTGCTGAGCTGCTGGCCCTTTAAGTAAACCTTGCCTGCCCTTGTAGGTCTCCAGGCTAAACTGCTAGTACAACTTAATGATGAACATCTGGTCTTTGGCAGACACTCAAGCCTTCTCTTGGCTTAACATAAAACAGAGCCCCTCAGGCTGCTTGCTCCCTTAGGCTAGGGACAGACATTCAGAAAGCCTGAGCCTGAATTGATTTAATTTTTGCAGGTTAGTCTAACCTGGCTAGGCTGAACTGGTTTGTAACTGGACAGACATTCTCTCTGGACTGAGGAAATTCAGGCATATGCCTGCAGTGACTCAGGCTAGAAGCTGGGGGACACTAGAGCAGCCCTCCCTCCCCTGGTACAGTGCTGAGCTGAGGGAGGGCATGGCCATGCCCCAGCTAGGATGCTTTGATTAAGAAGGTCTGCCTGCACCATCCCAGGCTTTTTCCCACTGGCTGCTCAAGGGTCAGGAGTGTTGCCAGCCTCCTGCTAGATCTCTGAGGTGGGGTTGGGGGGTGCAGTGCATTCAGCTGCTGATGATACAGAGTTTTTTCAATCTCCCTCCCTGCTTCTTTATATTGTCTGCAGCAAACTAGCAGGCAAGCAAGCCAGCAGGGGGCTGATAAGTGTTTATCCCCACATCAGCAAAACAATAGCCTCTCTCCATTAGTTCAAACTCTTCTTAAACAGTTTACAAGCTGACCTGTTGATTAGCTCCAAAAAGCCCTAAGTGGTCACTGTTCTGTCTGCCTGTCCCAGTGAAATTGGAGAGACACACACACACAGATACCTCTCGGCATTAGCTAGCATACCACATGCCTAGAGTCCATGGGGCTGGGGTCTGTGCTGTGGGAGATGGGAGGGAGGAAGAGGTGGGGTATTCCTGCTTGAGCAGTGAGGGAAGCCAAGCAGATCCTGCTATTCCTGCAGTCTCTGCCGGAGCTCCAGCCGGGGAGCAGAGGGGAGGGGCTAACTCTGTTGTGGAGCAGAGCCCTGCCCAGCCCAGAAAGCAAGCTGGGATGCTGGGTGAGTCTGGTTTACTTTAAACCAGCGAGGGGTCTGGGACAGACATTGCATAAACCAGTTTGACCCAAATCAGTTAAGTCTGATACTACATTTAAGCGGGTTTATCTCAAACCGGTTTCAGCCATTTTCAAACTGGTTTATGTGCACTGAACATCTGTTCTGTTACAGGTTTAAACCAGTTTCTGATCACTTAAACCAGTTTATGTGTAAGGTCTGTCCCTAGCTTTAAAGGAGCAGCTACATCCCAGTGCCCTGCTACAGCAATAAATAATTCTATACAAGACAGCCTCAGGAGAGGACTTATGAAGTCCCAGGTTGGCTTTTTCCTAGGCTGAGATGCTTCTGGTTTTACTTCCTTGAGGAATTTAATGTTGTTGAAAGATCCTTGCCTCATGACAGAAAAAGATCCTTTATCAGTTATCTGGGGTAGAATCTCTTTCTGTGGCATGATTGCATCTAATTCCATTTATAACATGAAATAGAAGAAAAATTGTATTCAAGCAAGTGTCCATATTTTTCCTAATCATTTCAGAGACTTGTCATTCTGCTTCACTTTTGCTAATAACTCCCCTTGACACTGCCTTCCCTAGGCCAAGGCAGTTTCACAGGACAGTGTTTTAGGTCCTTGGAGGGGGCTCTGAGATTAGGAAAGGAAAGATAATAGCTTTTGGGTTTCATGTTAATTCTGCTGCTCCTCTCTGCTTCAGGCAGAGGTCTGGATCGGAGAGCGCATGAAGAAACTGAAGGACCCTTCCATCCAAGATCCCAGCAGCCTACAAGACAAAATGAAGCTGCTGCAGAAACATCAAGTGTTTGAGGCAGAGATTTTAGCTAATGAGGAGATCATCACAGCCGTGAACAAGGTAATGCCAAACTCTGGAGCCATTATACAGATTATTTAAGGTTCTGTCTGCAGGAGGACAGGTGGAAAGAATTTAAAGTAACTGTTAATCATGCCCTTGGTTTGTGCTGATTTTCCATCCCCCTCCAGAGACTGGGTGACAAGACCTAAGTAATATTCAATAGGGGAGACTAAAATGGTGTTAATTCACAAAGCACTTCCCTGTTTCCTTAAGCTAGAAATAAGCCTTGCCAAATGAAGTGGATCCACTGTGCTATGATGTGTTGCAACACAGCTAACCTGCTCCATTGGGTCAAACACATGTCACCGCTTGTCCCACCTTTTGATGCAGCAGGAAAAGGGGTGATGTGTTCTCCAGGGGCTTCAGGGACCTGATCCTCTGCATCCTAGGAGTTCCTAGGCAGGATAAGATACCCTAAACCCTATGATCACCTGTCTGGCTTTCCCCACTTATCCAAATGCATCCCCAAAATCTCTGGGGGCTCAATTCGGTAGGTGGGGAAAGTCTGGGCTTCCCTGCTTAGCCAAATTCATCCCTGTGGTGTGTCTCACTAAACAGGCGAAATTGGGGTTTCCCTGCTTACCCAGACCTGTCTCCAGGATCTTCAGGGACCTGCCTAAGTAAACAGGGAAAGTTGGGGTTTCTCTGATTACCTAGAGCTGCCCCTAGGATCTCCTGCCTTGGAGATTCACCACAGAGCTAATAGACGCCCACTGCAATAAGCCAGCATAATTTATTACTACGTTTTGCCGCATCACTGATTTGCCTCTGATGTGGCATGACAGAAGGGAGGGGCACCTATTTTTATTACAGCACAGATGTAATGCTGGGTTACATCTGTTTCTACCCTTACTTCTATGTGGAGAAGAACCACTTGTTTCCCTTACTAGGCTGAATCCTCCTAATCTAGGAAAGGAGAAGGGAGTGTGAGTCATTCAGCTGGAGGCTGTGATTGTCTGAAATATTTTCCCTTGTGCTCCCATCCTCTAAATTTCATCTTGCCCCTGGAAAACTCAAACCTGGATTTCTTCATTGTATCAGAATAGTGCAGATTTTCCTTCCAGTAGAAAGTAAAAAATAGGATAAGCATTAACAATTTAGGGAGGGGGACTGAAGTAAGATTTAGAGTTTGGGGAAAGGGTGTCTCTCATAAAGATCATGTAACTCTTACATCAGTTGTAAAATTACTTTCTAATTCCCTCATTCTGACATAAAGAAAGGGGAAGCCCTTGTTTCACAAGGGCATCCCAAATCAGGGGAGATTCGTCGTCAGAACCGCATGCTTCAGGAACACTGGGAGAAGCTGAAGAGGGCTCTTGCTGCTCGTGGTAAGATGCTGGAGGACAGTCGGGACTTCCTGGAGTTTCTGCAGAAGGTAGACCAGGTGGAGGCCTGGATCAGGGACAAAGTAAGTTGACTCTGTTCTTTAACCGGGGAGAGCAGATTAAAGATGCTCTGTAAAGAACTGCCCTTTAGCAATGAACATTTGATGATGATATCATTTTTCAGTGCATTTTTAATCCTGGAAAATCTTAGTGCTGTAGGGAACGTTTAAGCAACTACAGAGACATTTCAATATGTTTTAATGCCAAAATTGGAATTTGGCTAAGTCAGGGGCCAGCAACCTTAATTAAGCTGCAGGCCTAACAACACATTTCCAGACCTGGGGGGTTGGGTGGGGGGGATTTTCCCTGTGCCCCTGTCAGCGCCATGCAGCTAGGAATAGTACCCACACCACTGCCACTTCTCCCAGCCTCCTGCTACCTGGCTGCAGTGCAGGCAAGAATCCAGCCTTTAGGGAGCTGCACTAGGGCTGGGCATCTGCAAACTTCATCCATGCTCCTGCATCTACTCCCTGCACCCCTCCACCCCTGGCTGTATTATGGGCACAACTGGAAGCTTCCTGGCCCCAGTGCAGCTCCCCACCTGCTGGAAGCTGCACCTGTACTGCATCTGAGGTGAGGGGGAAGCTGGGGGGAGATGCGGCAGCAGCACAGATGTAGTCTGAAGAAATTGGGGGTGTGCATCTGTGAAACCATAACCCAGTAGGCTATACACTGAGACCAGTGAGACAACTCTCCATAAGCAGGGAAAACCAGGCAGGTGCACCCAGGGTTCGAGGGGCACAATCTTGCTCAGAAATTCCAGGGTTGTGCAGGATTGGGCTTCTCAAGCCCCTGGAGCACCTGTTCAGGGTGTCTGGAGAGTGCAAACAGACCCAGGCTGCCTGCACTCTTCTGCCAGAAAACACATAGAATTATACTCTTAAACAGCAGCACAAATTGAAACCACATTCACTGCATGCTTTTGGCACTTGTGGTGATGGACATCAGTTGGCTTAGCCTTTGCCACTATAAGCATTTGTATGGCAGCCCAAAGGTGCCAAAAGGTGTTGTTTGTTTCCACCCTTAGATTCAGCTGTTTTGTCATCATGATACCCAAGTTCCATTCCAAGCACTGTTTCCCCATCGTAGAAGTATGACTTGACTTCTGTGTTCCAAATGTATAACTTTACACTTGGTTATGTTGAAGTGCACAAGTGTTACTGTAGATTAGTATACAAATATTTTATACATGGAAGCAAGTTAATTGGTTGAACTTGCTATATTCTCTAAACATCTGTCTATAGCACAAAGCTACTCACATCTTCCATCACTGACAATCCCTGCTCAATGGAATCCCAACATATGAGAGCTATTCTGACTATGGAATAAGATGCACTATTAAACTGGAGTTTAAGAGTACACAAAGATTGTAGGCATGCTGCAGGTCATGATTTAAGATGCTCTTATAGGCTATTATCAGAGAACCTTGCAAATTGGCCCCCACTGTAACCACAACCAACATTAACCAAATACAGAAATGCCTCACTTTGTCCCTGAAATCCAGCCTAGTTTTTATGAGAAGAAAAGCAAATAGAGAAATGTATCTGGGTTTCAAAATAAAGGTCTGCTATTTTATGTCATTAATTAAGTACAGTCTTTAGATGGTGGGAACTTCACTTTATACCAGTATGTGCAAGAAAAAGTACATTGTACACTGTACCAAGGCATTCAAGAATTCAGATGTGTTGGCAAGCAGAAAAGAGTTTGATAGGCTATTCAGGGGACAGAGAAAATACAACTTACAGTGATGTTGAGTACCAGATATACAGAAACTCCATCATAATGGATATTACATGCCTGGCATGTGACTTCAGAATGAATTAAATCAATTTTCCTTTCCTAACAAAAAGGTAAGCAATGAGAAAGGCTATTTACTTGCATTCTGAAGCTAAACGAAGACCAGTTGTTAGCTGAATATCCACTTGACTACTTTTTCCTTTCTCCAGGAAGTGATGATTAATATTGGTGATGTTGGAAATGACTATGAGCATTGTGTGCAGCTCATGAAAAAGCTCAATGAATTCCGAGGAGCAGCGTCAGGGGTAAGAAATGTTTTCCCTGCCTATTTCCACATACTTGGAATGCACAAAGCCAAAATCTAGCTTTTCAGCACAAAAAGGCAGCAAAGTAGCTGGAACAGTTTCATTATCTTTTGGGCAAAGAGAGCAGATGGTAGAATAGTGAGCTTTACCAGTTTAAAGACTAGTAGAATAGCTATTATCTTGCTTTTCATCTCTCTCTATCTAATGCTTTGTGGCATCTGAGTGAAGCAGTCAAATTATTCTTAATGAAACCTGAAACTTCAGGTCCAGTTGCAATGAAGGAATTTCAGGTTTGAGTGCTAGCTTTTGAGTGAGTCTTAAATGATTTGCAATCTTGGATAGAAATTATGCAAACTGCAGTTGCTTTTACCCAAAATCAAGCAACATTAAGTGGTTTCCAAGGTGTATCCACTTGGATTTGTTTGTACCTTTAACCCTATTCAGAATATCATGAACTGAGCCTCTGAAAGGAACTTACATGAGCTATCCCCCATTTCCCTCCTTATATGAAACTGTCAATTTTCTTGTATCTCGTAATTTAAACAGAGTATATTTGTATACCTTTTGTTGTATACTACACACATGGTTTATCACTAATTATAAGAACATCATAAGCATTTGGGAATACAGAGCAACACTTTACATATTGGATAACAGCAATGTGACAAGACAGCTGCTGGGTTCATCTTTCCATGCTGAGGTCTCTAGATCCTCCTTTGTGATGATGAGTCACTACAGCTGCCTTTCTCGCACCCCAGGGGGACTCTCTAACTTGGGCACAAAGCTATTTGGAGTATTCATGAGCAGGCTCTGACTTGACACAGTGGCACACTGGCTGCCTGCTTCAGCTTTCTTTGCTAAGAGCTCTGAGATCACCCTCTAGGCTGGGAAATTGTAACAGGCTTTCTTATATTCTCTAGCTGGCTGTACTAAAAAGGGCAAGAATTTATGGGCTCAGTGCATGTTCAAGAGAGACTTCCCTTGCTCTGCTGTCACGTAAGGATCTGGAGGGGCTCCCAGTATGACAGTTTGAGGGAGTTTTCCTTTAACATTCTCCATCACCTTCACCATGTCTTCCTCCACGGTGTTGCCAAATTATTTCAGAACATCTCACATTTTCTCTTCGTGTTCCTTCATCACAGAAGGAAAAACTCATATTGGACATTGAATGGCTTTCCTGAGATGTCTGACATCTGTAGAGAGATCCTGGGCTTTCTTTTTTAGTGCTTTCCAACTCCTATGAAAATGTCTTACTATTGGATTTGGGTTGAGACCCAAAAGTCTCACTTCAGCTGTAGGAAAGCAGTGAAGTGAGACCAAAGAAGTCCAAAAGAAACCTCCACTAGCCCTTCAGTAGCTCATGGGCAAAACAAAATGTCTGATATAGATAGTGCCAGGCAAACAGAAGGACAGGGACATCAGGGGAGGAGAGAACGATATCGTATTGAAGTCACTATAAGGTGACATTCGGTGTCATTTTCTGCATTAGATAGCAGCAAATACAATGTTCCTACACCATAAAATGCATGTGCCCCCTGGGGAGTGGTTGGGACTGTGGATACTGTGATGATCACCATTATAGCCATTAGGGCTGTGTGAAGCTGTGGTCCCTGTCTTGATTCGGCCTGATTCAGTGGCCGAATCTCCAAATCCAAATCAAATCAGAGGACCCTTTAATCCCTCCAAATTGAATTGGAACCCTCCGAATCGATTCGGAGAGATTCAGAAAGATTTGGCAATTTGGGCATAGACACAGCTTTAAATGTTTTTTCTACATACCTCTAGGTATCAGGTGGCTCAAGAATGCTGTGATGCTGGGACACATGGAGTGTACCACAGAAGCGTGGGGGATTCCTCAGCGTGCTCAGCAGCAGACCCAAAAGTGGACCCAAAGCACTTCCAGTCCACTTCCGGGTCTGCTTGGGAGCACATGGGCAGGGGGCCACCCCGCCCCCTCCAGCTCGGCAACTGGTGCCTCCTGGGTGCCCCCGTGGCTGATCGCTGAGATGAGGGGGCGCAGGGGGACCCCCCAGCGTGCTCCCCAGTGGACCCAGAAGTTGACCGGGCATGCTTCTGGTCTACTCAGTCCACTTCCGGGTCTGCTTGGGAGCACATGGGCAGGGGGCCACCCCGCCCCCTCCAGCTCGGCAACTGGTGCCTCCTGGGTGCCCCCGTGGCTGATCGCTGAGATGAGGGGGCGCAGGGGGACCCCCCAGCGTGCTCCCCAGTGGACCCAGAAGTTGACCGGGCATGCTTCTGGTCTACTCGGTCCACTTCCGGGTTCACCGCTGAGCATGTGGAGGGTCCCACCATACTCCTGTGGGACGCTCCGTGCACCCCAGCATCACAGCATTCACCAGCCATGCTGGTTCCATAGTTTCATAGTAGTTTGGGGAAAGAAGGGACTTGAACAGATCATCTAGTCTGACCCCCCGCCACTGGCCGGAGCACATGCTGGGATCACACGACCCCAGACAGGTGTTCGTCCAACTTCTTTTTTAATTT